TTTTCTAAAAAGCACCCCAATGTGATATGTAGCAGGATTGATAAGTGTAGGGTGCCAGGTATGTCCATGGATGAGTGTTGGTTAATTACATCAACCAGGGTTTCGCACGATCATTGTAGCTGTGCTGTATTTGTAATTTGTTGCATTGAACTATTGAACACTTTCCTCCTGAAATCAGGAACAATTTGTCTTATGCTAAAATGGCCTCTTCATGAACTGTTTTCTCAGTAAACTCAAAATAGGAGTGAAAGAGTTAAGCATTTCTTTGAAATACATGCCCACATTAAGTGAATGCCTTCCTGCAAAGAGCCAATATTTTCAATAATGATCTGCATCCAACAAACACTGACCAGAAAAGCAGCAGCCATGAAGGAACAGTGGCAATTTGGAACAAAGTTAGTAATGCTGCTGCTCTTAAAAAAAGGAAGGAAAAAAAAAAAGCTCTCAAACTTTATGGTGAATATATTCAAATTGCACAGTTTACCTACACCTCGATTAGAAAAAAAATGAATAAACACAGGAAAAGAAAGAGAAATGTTACAGTGTCACAACCCTTCCAATGAGACTAGATTCCCTTTATTTGAAAGAGTCCTAAATTTTCTCATTGCCTATTCAATTGGGAGAATGATGTTTCCTTGAACAAATGAAATAGGAAGCTCTGGGAAAAGAGATGGAGAGGGCTCTCTGACAGATGCAGAGAAGAACCAGGGAGGGCAGAGGAGGGTAAAAGAACTTCCACATCCACTGATAGGAAGGACATACAATAAGTAAATAGAAGACCATCTGCCTGAGCAAGAAAAGAGGGGAGAAGGGTAGACCTTTGCAGGAGGTGTGGCTATATTTTTTTCTGAGACTTAGAAAGTTGGGAGGGACAATGACATCATTGGCTGCACCCTTATAATTTACTGTATCCCCCAGCACTCAGAGCGAGACACGCCTCCAACCTGCATTTCCCTTGCATAGGCTACATGCTCCTCTGCTGTGTGGCCTTTTGTCTCCTGGGGACAGGTGAGTTTGTGAATAGGTGGCAAATCCCTGCCTGAAATTTCCCAGGTCCTACCTTAAGACTGTGGCAAGAGGAACCTTCCAAGGCTCTGTCTCATGTTTGTTTTGTTTTTTCACAGTGTCCATGGATACTGGTGTTACCCAGACCCCAAGGCATAGCATCACAAAGACAGGAAACAGCATTGTTCTGGAATGTTCTCAGAATAAGAGTCATGACTATATGTACTGGTATCGACAAGACCCTGGACTGGGGCTGCGACTGATCTACTCTTCCTTCGATATCAAAGATATTAACAAAGGAGAGGTCTCTCATGGGTACAGTGTCTCTCGAAGTGAGAAGGCGAAATTCCCCCTCTCTCTAGACACTGCCAGCCCCAACCAGACAGCTCTTTACTTCTGTGCCAGCAGTNAAGAAATTAATTATAAGAGAATGAAATATAATACACTGAAATATCATGTCCTATCATAATATAACAACATAATATAATACTCTAATCAGAAGTTCTTTGGGAGCTCAGAGAAGGACTTGCCAAGTCTATCTGGTTGGCTCAGCAAAAGCTAAGAGAAGGTTACATGTGAACTTCACCAGATGAACCTAATTGTGGGTGGAGAATTCTGGACAAAGAGAACAACTTCTGCAAAGATATATTGTATTAAAGGGAGTGACACTTAGCGGGGAAATTACCGAACAGAAGGAAGGTGATCAACTGATAGGAATTCAATCCAACTGAACAAGTGTGAGAGAACAGACAGGATGGAGCTTATGGATAAGCTGAGTTTCTGGTTTCATTGTAGGCCATTGCTCGAGAGAAAGCAGAAACTTGAGAGAAATATTTGGTTGTCATCAGCAGACACATTTTTCAATTGTGTCTATATGACTTCGGTTCCTTGCAAAGGCCACAGCTTCAAATAATGTGGGATCTTGTTAGCAGAAGCAATTCCCATTTGGGAAAGCAGGGATTGAATTGTCTGTGGGAAAGCCAGATGAAGATTCGAAGTAGGCAGTTGTGTATACAGACGTGAAATTGAGATGCAGTAACGCTGGACTAGAGATATAGGTTTTGCAGAACTCAGCATATAAAGGATTAAACTATGGGGCCAACAAATTCCACCCAAAATGTAGATTTAGATAACAGAGATAAAATGCTCAGAAATACGGACTGTGGTATCCTGGTTCTTTAAGGAACTAAAAGAACACAGAAATGGACTGTTAAGGCTGACTGGGTGGGGAGTGATGAAGGTACAGAATGTGAAAACAAAGGAGGGAGTTTAGAGAGACAAAGTTTCTGGCTTGTCTCATGTTGATATTTCTAAGAAAATGAAAAAAAAAAAAGGTAACCCTATCAGAAAAACCCACAAACACTCCTTGGATAAGAGATAGGAATAGGGGAAGGGTCATATGTTAGTTTATTCTGGTGAATAAGACCTTTGGCACTGCAGTAAATATATAAACATATAAAGTCTTATTGACAGCCGTTAAAGAAGGCTTAAATAAAAGAAAAGAGATTCCATCATTATAAATTGGATAGATTCAATGTTTCTAAAATATCTATTTTTCCAAATTGATGTATATGTTTAATATAACCCAATCAAAATCCCAACAGGTTTTTGATAGAACTTTATAAATTTAAAATTTATATTATGCTGCAAAGGGCCAAGAATAGCTAAGACACTCTTGAAGTAGAAGAACCAAGTAGGAGGACCTAACAAATGCCAAGAATTATCATAAACCCACAATAATAAAGATAGTGGAGCATAGAGACAGTGATATGTAAATTGACCCATGAGGGGAAAACATATGTATATATACACAGAGAGGTGGTACTGCAGAAGTGAAAGAATAGATTTTCAACAAGTGTTGAGGGGAAAATCAGGTATCTGTATGAAGAAAAATGAAAGTGGATGTTTATCTCACAATGTATTCAAAATTAATTTCAGCTGTATTACAAGTATAAATTAATAAGCCACAAAGCTTTAAGACTATACCTCAGGAGCATATCTTCATAGCCTCAAGGTAGAGGAGGACTCCTTAATCCTCTTAGTAAGTACAGAACTGATTGATAAAAATGACTACATCAAAACCAAGTTCTTCCATTCACCAGAGATAACCATATAAGAATGAAAGATCTATAGTGAGATGTGATTACATATATATTTATTTATAAGGATATATATTTATATCCATATCCAAGTCTATATCCATATCCATATTTATATTTATATAATCAAGAAAGGCTAGTATGTAGAATTTATAAAGAATACCTAAAAATTAACTTCTCTACAAATTAATGTGAAAAAATTAACTCAATAGAAAAATGGGTAAAATTTTCAACTACCACCTCACAAAAGAGAAAATTTAATAGGCCACTGAACATGTAAACATTGTTAAATTTAATTATTAATCAAAGAAATGCAAGTGAACAACCCAATGAAATATATCACAAGAATGGCCAAAATGGAAAAAATGCACTATTTGGCAAAGCAACACATCAACAACTCTCTTGAATCACTAGGGTGTCAATTGGTAGATCTACTATGGAAAACAATTTGGCATTCTCTAGTAAAGTTCAAGGTGTGTACACCTTTTGGAGGTGATGAATATGTTTATTATTTTGATTGTGGTGATGTTATCATGGGTGCATGCATACGTCCAAACTCATCAAATTCTATATATGAAATATGTGCAGGGTTTTTTTGTATATCAAATACACCTCAATAAAGCTGTAAAAAAAAAAAAAAGATGTGTGTACCCACTATCCAGCAATACCACCCTTGAAAAACTCTTTCCTAGAAAAACTCTTATATGTAAAAACCAGGGCACATGCCCAAGAATATTCAATGTAGCACTACCTTGTAACAGCAAAATACTATGAAATACCCAAATGTATACCAAAAGAAGAATGGATAAATAAATGATGGTATATTACTATGAAGACATTATACAGCAGTGAAATGGATGAACTAAACTTAAACACATCAATATTTTGATGCAAATTTTATACACACTGAATTTTATAACTTTGAGTGAAAATTATATTGCAGAAGACAGGTACAGAATTGTCCCATTT